CATATTTATGTTATATATTTTTGTTAAATAAATAATTATATCTGCTATACTTTGTATTGAGCACTCTTTTAAGAATAGTAATTGTTGGTTATTGGAATTCATTCCGTATACACCAATCATATACTTGTATATATATATATATATATATATATATATATATATATATATATATATATATATAGTCTGTTGTCATTGAGTTTATGTATCTTGTTTGTCAAACTCGTAGCGGTCTAAGTGACGCCAGTTCTCTTTCACAAAGAGACATTGCGCCAAAGCTTAGTCACGAAGGTTTGCAACGCGTTTCTTCTTTGTGGCCTGTGAAAGCCGTTAAGATGGTTGAATAATTGAGCTGCATCTGAAATCAGGGTTAAAAGTGATTTCGAAGTCGAGTTCAGTACATTCTTTCTGCGGTAGTAAGATGATGCGTCGTGCTCATTTGGAATCTCGGAATTTTCGGTGAGTTGACTGTTGTTACGGCGAAATACCCAGGTGATAATTTTGGACTTGCAGAGACTGTTATGTCTGAAATGCTTAAAATATTTCTTTTAATAATTGATGATGAATAAATGATTTTAACTAGTGTTTTAATAATTGATGGTGAAAAGGTTTTAAATTGTATTCATAATTGATGGCAAAAATAAATAAACATGGGTTAAATCTGTGTCATGTTATTTTTAACATTACCAGACTCGGTAAAATAAACCGGGCTCGGTAAAATAAACCCCCAATCTATTTCGCTGGTAGATATTTTTATTATCATGAAGATAATAAAAATATCTACAGGCAAAATAGATTAGGGGTTTATTTTACCGAGCCCCGTAAAATAAACTTAAAAACATGTTTGCCTATTTTACCGGGACCTGCAAAATAGCCTCTTTCTTATTTAAAACTACGCCTTAGATCTGCTGAGCTACTTGAAGAATTCGAGAAATTAAAAAAAAATGAAACAATATCTAGCCATACTGTCTAAAATTGGGTTAAGAGTTTTATGAGTGTTGACTTGTCCTTAGAAATAAAAACCAGAAATAGACACTCATCAGTTGTCATTTCCCTCAAGATAGAGGAGAGACCAAAAACCAGCAACCGAAAATTTTCAGAAGACCGTGGATCATTGAAAAATATGATATAGACAGCTTTACATAATTTCACCCCACCCAAAATGGAAAACATAAAGCAGTTCCCGAGAGGTTTAAAAATGAACATACATTTGATATAGCTTAACACGAGGCTTAACTGGTACAATGCCGCATTAAAGAGTAACTCAAGAAGGATCGAAATTATCACAGTGGCAAATTGGTCTTATAGACGATAATGTTATATATTCCACTATATGAGCTATACATATATATAAATAATAATAATAATAATAGCTGGCTACTCGTATTCGAGGATACCCGTCTATTAGGGCGGCTAGCCAATCCCTATAGCAGACGCTTGCTCAGACACATTTCAACAGCCAAAACGTCAACCTGTGGCTTATACTGTATCTATACTGAGCAGACCTTAGTTACAGTTTCTGGGAGAGAACGTGTTATCTAGCATGATCAGGAATCTGAACAAGGCCAGCACGTACATACATACATACATACATACATACATACATACATACATACATACATACATAGCCGAGTGGATAGAACGTTCGCATTCTGATCATGGGCCCCGGGTTCGAATCTCACCATATGTTATCCGACTGGAGGAATCGATCCCACTGCGCGGCATCTTTAGAAAATCATACCCAACTCTTGTTAGGGAAAATTGGGTATACAAAAATCTTAGGGGCTGTCTTTATCTGTGCTAGCCCGAAGTCACAAGTCGTCGTGGCCGAGTGTTTGAGCTTGCTGGCCTTATTTAAATTGTTGCTCACATTAGATAACACGCTTTTTTTCCAGAATGTCTGCTTAGCATAGTTGCATTATAATGCTGAATAAACACAAATGCGCCTGAGCAAGCGTCTGCAATAAATTGGCTAACCGCCTAGTAAACGAGTAACTTCAATTCAGTGGCCAGCTATATATATATATATATATATATATATATATATATATATATAATTAACCAAAGCTAATACATATATAGATGGACACTCGAAATCAAAGTTACCCGTTTACTAGGGCGGCTTGCCAATCCTTATTGCAGACGCTTGCTCAGGTGCATTTGTGTTTATATATATATATATATATATATATATATATATATATATATATATATATATATATATATATATATATATATATATATATATATAATTATATATATATATATATAATATATATATATATATATATATAATTTAGTTTATATATATATATATATATATATTTATATTTATATATTATATAGTTTATATATATATAATTGACCAACGCTTATATATATATATAATTATATATATATATATATAATTATATATATATATATATATAATTATATATATATATATATAATTTAGTTTATATATATATATATATTATATTTATATATTATATAGTTTATATATATATAATTGACCAACGCTTATATATATATATATATATATATATATATATATGCACCAAGCTCATATAGTAAGTAATAGCAACCTGCAAACACTCGAAAAAATTTCTTTTAGCCAATTATGATCCTGGATGAGAGTACTTATACAAATGTTTCTTCTCCTCATCTACACCTCTATTTCCTTTTCTGTACACACACTTTTCTCATCCCCCTTTGATTGCTAGTGCAAATATAAATAGGTATTTTGAAACGAAACACAGACTTGCTGCCTGTCGAAGCTATCTTGGCAGAAAACGTGGTTGCAAGATGGTCAATGTCTTGGATATTTCATATATATATATATATATATATATATATATAATTATTTATTCGAAAATTATAACAAAAATATGTTATAAAATCACTACTAAAATAGCCATTTTGTTTCAACACTTCTGGTATCCTATCAAGTGATGGTGTTGAATATAGAATAAAGGGTTTTAAAAGGTTCAAATTAATCAAACATCCATCGCTAGCACTCTTTTAAGAATAGTATTTGTTGGTTATTGGAATCTATTCCGTATACACCTATATATATATATATATATATATATATATATATATATATATATATATATATATATGTGTGTGTGTGTGTGTGTGTGTGTGTGTGTGTGTGTGTGTGTGTGTACCATACTTAGCTATTTCAGTGAAGTCGAACAATTTTTAAAAACACTCACAAAATGCTCAATGCCTCGAGAAATTAAACTAAGATTTGTAAAAATAACAAACACTAAACAACGTTCACGGTACCCTGATCTTAGTTTCATGCTATGGCTATTGTATATTTAGGCAGCAACCCTTCTTTTATGCATGTTTCTTTAAATATGACAGACAAGGAATATTTTCCAAGTTTTTTTTTTAATACTTAGTTTTTCTAGTATCCTTTCGTTCTTCTTTTTGCTTACTACGTGTTTTAGAGAAATTGTCTATACGAGGCTCGTTCAGTGGTTGATCAAGATACACTCATGCAATATGACTAAATGAGGTTTATTTTTCAACAGACATCTTGTTGCCGTGCTTGGGTCCCACTGTTTAAGAAACTTTTCTTCTGTTATCAAAGAAGTTTTTCATGTTGGTTAACAGATGTTAGTCACATTGGCACCAAATCAGAAAAATATAGAGTGTGATCAACCAATTCAAAGACACAGTTGCACACAGCAGGCATTGAAACTAATTTCCTTGAAACCTATAAACTATTATTAAGCAGAGGACTGTAACAATACAAAAAATGAGACTGTGTCAGTTTTAGTCACAAATGATGTTTTACAGAGTGGTGTTATTTGTTCAACAATCAAACCTTCTGGTTTAAAATTCAGAATTGTTCTTCTCCCTGACTGGTTGCCACTTAAGGCTAAATAGCTTAGTCTACCCTACTATTTCGCTCCTAGCTAAAAAATTTTAATATACAAAAATGATAATGAATTTAAAACAAAAATTAGTGCCGACAGTTACCATTAATATGACAACACTGAAAAAACATGCACACTTTTAATACATCCACATAAAAACTAAAAGCTATAACATAAGTGAAGTGCAAGCATAGTGTTTTATATTAAAGTGATTTCTTTGCATAACTTTACTCCAAAGTTTATATCAAGTACATAACTGAAGAATATCTATAGTTTTATTATGTTACTATTATTTGGAACAATTTTAATATTTGTACCTGCAAAAAAAAAACCGTGAGTTAAAAGGGCGTTTTTTCCTTTTGACCCAGCTATTATTGTATAGTACTTTGGCAATTTTTATTTCTTTAAAAAGTTATTTTTAGAATTTTACTGTTGGATTTACGCATTCTCTTATTTACTTCAGAATTGACAAAAAATAATTAAACACTATTCTTGTAATTAAACAGTCTAATAAATAATATTTAACATCTTTGTTGGCAATTCTTGAGGAAAATAGTTTAAATCCAGATATTTGCTAGCTATTTTAGTGAATTTATGTGAAGAGAGAGCAAATGAAAGAAATGCATTTTTTTTTTCAAAATTTATACAGTAAACTGTAGTTGTGTTTCAGAAATACCGTTACTGTTTATTATCTCGAGCGCTTTCGGATAATACTTTAGCCATTTTCCAGAGGTGGGGGCGTTAATTTGCGTGGTAACAAAGATATTTTTGATGTTTCTTATAACATGTTGTGTGAGAATAGTAGTAACGCAATCATTAGTGGAATTTTTTGTTCAGTTTCCAAACACAGTCAAGACGTTGTGGTTACTTTCGAAATAAAAAGTGCTGTTCAGAGTTGATCTGGCACTTTCTGTTATGAGCGCGTCTAATATATTCAAACGTTTTATTATTATTATTATTATTATTATTATTATTATTATTATTATTTCAACTGGCTGTTCTTAATATGTTTGTGTTATCTTCAAGCATTTGTGATTGACTTGGGTGTTAGCGTCCATGTGTTTTTTTTGTTTGTTTGTTTTTTTATCTCGCTTAGATCACTTATTAGTCTCAATGGAAACTAACGATATTAATAATCGGGTATCTGGATTCTTCTCAGACTCTCATAACGTTTTCCACGCGATTGTTGGACGTCGTGCAAATAGTACACCAGCACAGATGTCTGCAACTTCTTCTGGAGTTTGGGGCCTGATTCTTTATAGAGATAAAACGGATAACGTGTGCCGTGTTCCGAACCACGAACAAATTGAAAAAAAAAGCATGTCCGTTTATTTATTTCTTATTTATTCTTAAATCATAGATTTATTGGTGGCAAGGTGGAAGTGCGGTTATTGAGGCGATTGTCAGCCTGGAAACGACAAACCGAATCTATTCCGTTTGTTTTGGCGCTATTGTCCTTGCTAAAGACATAAATCAGTATTTCTCCGTATCACAGCTATGGTTAAATAATAGGTTAGACTAGTTTCTCTTTCCTTCATTACTAACCAGTCCAGAAGATGGAATACGTTGAATTCAAGAATGCGGTAAAGACGAAAAAACTTTCCACTATCTCTCCCAAGTCCTAGTGATTCAGAGATAAAGCGAAAGGGGAGTGTGTGGAGAGCCATGACTGACAACGTCCTGAAGTGATATAACAGACATGGCATTATAAAAAAAAAAAAATGTTGGTCAACTAACTCAACTGACTTTAATTCCGCTAAAAATGACAGCATAATTGCTGACGTCATTTTACTCACGCCAAGTTAAAGGCCAATGAAAAATGTACAAAATATTCTTCGGTTGCACATCAATTAAAAATATTGATATTTTGATTGAGTGCCGCTTACCAAAAACGAAAACTTGGCTTTATTATGAGACAAATTTTTATCTCTATCGACGAAGGGGCTTGATTATTAGAACTTATTAATATCTGTTACATTCTTTTGAAGAACCAGTGACTGTGTTAAAAAGTCAGTAAACGTAGACAATGGAAAGTTAATTGTTTTCTTGATAAACTACTCAAAATCATTACATTATAAGAAATTTTTAAAATATATTATTAGAAAATTTTAAAATATCTATGTTCGAGTTTCTTTGAAAAGTTTATTAGATTACTATACTCCTTCTTTTCTGTCTGCCCGCATGACCTCCTTCCATGCTTCAACCTATCTTTACTCACCATTTTTCTTTATTTCTTTCTTTCCAGATTTGTTTTCTTTTCACAATTTTTCTTTCTTCCGTTGAAGATTTCTTTCTTTCCTTCTTTCTTTCTTTCTTTCTTTCTTTCCAGATTTGTTTTCTTTTCACATTTTTTCTTTCTTCCGTTGAAGATTTCTTTCTTTCTTTCTTTCTTTCTTTCTTTCTTTCTTTCTTTCTTTCTTTCTTTCTTTCTTTCTTTCTTTCTTTCTTTCTTTCTTTCTTTCCAGATTTGTTTTCTTTTCACATTTTTTCTTTCTTCCGTTGAAGATTTCTTTCTTTCTTTCTTTCTTTCTTTCTTTCTTTCTTTCCAGATTTGTTTTTCTTTTCACATTTTTTTTTCTTCCGTCGAATTTTTTTCTTTCTTTATTTATTTATTTCTTTTCTTTCTTTCTTTCTTTCTTTCTTTCTTTCTTTCTTTCCAGATTTGTTTTCTTTTCACATTTTTTCTTTCTTCCGTTGAAGATTTCTTTCTTTCTTTCTTTCTTTCTTTCTTTCTTTCTTTCTTTCTTTCCAGATTTGTTTTCTTTTCACATTTTTTCTTTCTTCCGTTGAAGATTTCTTTCTTTCTTTCTTTATTTCTTTCTTTCTTTCTTTCTTTCCAGATTTGTTTTCTTTTCACATTTTTTCTTTCTTCCGTTGAAGATTTCTTTCTTTCTTTCTTTCGTATCTTCTTTTCTCATTTCCTTTCTTTCTTCGACTATTTATTTATTTCATTTCATTTCATTTCTTCTGCTTTCTTTATTTACATTCACATTTTCTTTCTTTCTCAATTTTTCCATTTCTTATTTTCTTTTCATATTGTTTCTTTCCACTTCTTTCCCCTATTTCTTGTTGGCTTTCTCACCCCCCTTCTTTCCATTATTTCTTTCTTTCTTTTTTCTTTCTTTCCTTATTTCTTTCCTTTTTGTTTCATGTATTATTTTTATCTTTTCTTTCTCTTTTACAATTTCTTTCTTTTTCTTTCCAGAACGCATTCCATTCTTTGAGCAACAGCCCCCCCCCCTTCATTTTTCATCTTATCAGCATTTCTTTCTTTTTTTTTTACTTTTTTCTTGACTTTTTTACTTATTTTGTTTTGCTACTTTTATTCGTGACTGGAAGTTAGTGAAATAACGATTGGAATGCAGTGAAACTCTTTCCCTTTTTTTCCCTTATCAATAGCCATGTTGATCGACGCTGTCTTCCATATTGGTAAGAAGGATCTTTCTCTGAATCTATGTGGGATAAAAGCTGACGATCACTCATAGGAGTCGCCAAATAGTCTCTTAGTTCAGACAAGATTTCTTTAACACATATCTGATTAGCCAGACATTAATGATGCTTGTCTCCTCCTTTTATCCACTTTGTATAAACAACTTTTACTTTACTTTTGATGAGCGTGAGAGGCCTTTTGATCATGTGACCCAATTCAAAACTGATCAGTTTGGGTGACTTTTCATCTGATAATCGAAAAAAAAAAGCTTCTTTAGCCCAGAACTTGGATTACAATAACTGTTTTTTTAATATTTGTCAAGTTTTATGCATTTTCTTTGTTTGAAGTTCTCGGAGAAAAATATTAAAAATATATGCATTAGCAACTTAAGTTGCTACTTTATCATAGATTTTACTTTACAATATTAGAATTACGGATAAGGTTAGAATTTTTCTCGGCCTTATAGTTAATGTGTGACATCATATATCATGAAGACGTACTTTAGCATTGCACCTCTTAGATATAAGCATAATTATAGTACCCGTTTTCTTATAAGGAAACATTCGGCATTCATTGACCGAGCAACAAGTGGGACTTGAGTTATGCTTTTCTTCACTGCGTAGATGTAGGCTTGAGATCAGAGTGTAGTGTCTGCCTTCGGACGGACAAACTACATTTTATCTCTCAGTTCTGAGTCTGTCTTTGGACAGAGCATAAATCTGCTTTTATCTTCCGACAAAGCGCAAATAAAAATTTTGAGAGACGCCCAGTTCGTGGAGTACCTCCCTCATTGCACTAAAGAAATGGGGATCGGTAGTAATACCGATGCTAGCGTGACCGTTGCGTAGGCAGGGCTATTTCTGGACCTGGTCCGGATGCACACGTCGCCCAATCCCCGTCACATTAAACTGACCTTTTGTCACACCCTGCTAGCATAGGACGTAAGTAAATACAAGATGGCGTATCTGTAAATACAAGATGGCGTATCTGTAAATACAAGATGACGTATCTGTAAATAAATAAGTAAATACAAGATGGCGTATCTGTTCTCATCTTTAATGGTAATGTTAATATTAGCCGTTTTCTGATAGGGAAACATTCATTGACTGATCATCCCGTGTTACTTTCGCATTAAATTCAGAAAAAATCTTCAGGAAAATAGGTTTCTAAAATCCACTAATTGTCATTGCTATTACCTGTATTGAAGGAGGCTACATTTCCAACCTTTGGGCCGTCAATATTTTGATTGTCATTATTTCCTCTTCAAGGTGCATTTGGCACCCATTTTTGCTGTTGTTCCTGTTGAAAGTGTTCGGGTGATGTGGTTTCTATTATTTGGTACGGTTCTTCGTTTGGGATTCTCTAGTCCACAAGGTTCAAAGAAGATTCATAGGCGTCACTCGCTCAAAGACATTTTTCACCATTCGTATGATAAAGCTGGTGGTATACAGCTGAGAGTTTATATATTTCTGAACTTGTTTAACGCCATGCATGACATCCATATGAAAGTCTCGATCTGACGAGTTTGCTTAAATACATGGCTCGAGTTTCTAGGTTAATGTTTTGGTTTTGTAACTATTAGCAGTGTCGGACGAACCTCCCCTAGCGAAGGCTTTTCTATGTTCAATTTCCTTTTCTCCTAGAATAAATTTGTTGTGGAATAGCTAGCTAGCTATCTAAATAGATAGATGTGAACGGACTGAAATAGATAGATAGATAGATAGATAGATAGATAGATAGATAGATAGATAGATAGATAGATAGATAGATGTGAAAAGACTAAGACAGATAGACAGATATCTATGTTCAATTTCCTTTTCTCCTTTACTACATTCGTTGTAGAAGGAGATAAATGGATAGATAAATACACAGATACATAGATAGATATGAACAGACTGAGATAGATAGATAGATAGATAGATAGATAGATAGATAGATAGATAGATAGATAGATAGATAGATAGATGTGAAAGGACTGAGACAGATAGACAGATATCTATGTTCAATTTCCTTTTCTCCTATACTACATTTCTTACAGAATGAGATAGATGTATAGATAAATACATAGATACATAGATACATATATAGATGGGAACAGACCGTGATAGATAGATAGATAGATAGATAGATAGATAGATAGATAGATAGATATAGATAGATAGACTGACTGACTGACTGACTGACTGAATTAGATAGATAGATAGATAGATAGATAGATAGATAGATAGATAGATAGATATCTGTTGTGGATTCCGAGATGAAATTCGGTCTCCAATGAATGACAAACGCAGGAATGAAATATAACAAATAAATGTATTTACACAATAATACAATGGGTAATACGGTTAGTAAATCCAGAAACGCGATTAATAGCAATAATAATAATAATAATATATATATATATATATATATATATATATATATATATATATATATATATATATATATATATATATATATACAGTCTGGTAAATTCAGTCTCAAGTAGTACTTCTTTAGAGTCTATGTGTTCGTAACTGTGACTTCTACAAGCGGTTACCTCACACTATTACTCTACCTCAACTCAATCTCATTTTCTTTCTTTCTTTCTTTCTTTCTTTCTTTCTTTCTTTTTTTTTCTCTCTCTCTCTCTCTCTCTCTCTCTCTCTCTCTCTCTCTCTCTCTACTCTGACTGACTCTGGGTATTTAACAGCAGCAGTCCAAGTACATACTGGTCGAGTCCACTTGTATGAAAACGGGGTGGACCCCATAACAATATCAATAGACATAGAAGATATGATGATGTAAGGAGACTAACGTAGAGATAGAGCGAGAGGAACAGAATCAAATATTTACTGAGGTTCTTATTCTATGTGCTGTGTTCTTTGCGGACGTGGGCAATCATGGTTCTCCCCATCTTCCTATCATGCGTAGCTTAAAGCAAAATTTTTCCTCTTACTCTATCGACTAGTCCTTGTTCTTACACCTATTTATATGTGATCGTTAGTTTCGTTACTCACTGTTTCTCTCTACCCGTTTTGTCCATAATGTCCTGTGAGTATCGAATTCTCCAAACATTCTTTCCTTATTATGTGCCCAAGAAACTTCAACTGTCCTTTTCTGGTCATTAACAAAGGTTCCCTTTTCGTTCCCATTATCCTTAAAGCGTCCACGTTGCTCACATATTCTGTTCACTGTTTTTTCAGCATCCTTCTATATAATCACATTTCTGTCGCTTCAGTTCTCTTTTACATCTTTGTCCAGTATCTACTGACCTATGACTATTGATATTACATAGAAGTTTACTCACTTCAAACGTTAATTTTTATGGATACTCATATTTGAATAGACGCTCTGTTTATTTATTAAACAGTCTATTTATTTTCGTCTACCGGCCTGAATATTCGAGAAATCGTATTATTGAAAACATGTGCTCTCCTTTTCTTTAACAACATTTCTCGAATATTTATAGACGGTGGACGAAAATAAATAAATATCCTGTTTCATAAATAAACGTGGCGTTTACTCCAATATGAGTATCCGCTAAAAAATAACGTGTTTAAAGTGTTACAAATCTTTCGGTTTGATAAATAAAAATCCATGACTTTAGAAAAGTTTAGGACTCTTGTTTGTTTCTAACGAATTTTTTCCTGATTCTTGATGCTTTTTTCTGTTTTTGAAAGGAATATTTCGCTATCATAATGTGCCTTCGACTTCTGATGGTATATTTGCCGTCTTCCGGAAAATTTCTACTTTTGATGGATTTCGACGTCTCCAATTCATAACTATTATCTTGGGCTGATCTTTTTCTACAAATATTTCATCCCAAGCAAGGAGATAATGCCACTAAGACGTTAAGTCTCTTGCTAATAATTCTGTTTTCTTACAATTAATTGTTAATCCTTTCTTTCCGCCTTCCTTAGTGATGTTAGTCAAACCCGAGTCAACCACAGTTGAACATAAACTGTGATTCGAATTCGCTGTACCAGCAAACTGATCGCTCAACCCGACTTGCTAAATATTGCGCTAAATTAAGCATCTGTCTACAGACAAACATGAATGTATATTCCTCGTCCAGAAACGTACAGAGCCATGCTACCCCAGAATCTTGAACTTCTTCTGGATTTATATAAGCTTATGATTAGCAATTTCCATACAGTAAATATTTGGGATTCGTTAACGGAATAGTTAAATTTATAAAATCTTTTTCTTAAAACAATTTTTCATGAAGTTAGACTTGATAAGTCCACTAACTGTTATGGTTCTTTCTACTGTCGATGGTAATGGTATGGTAATGGTAATGGTTTTAAATAACCGTTTCCATACAGGAAACATTCGGCATTCATTGACCGAACAGTTAGTGTTAATCTCTTTTGAAATTTATAAAATCTTTTTCTTAAAAACATTTTTTCTGGAAAATAAGTTTCTCAATTTCTCTCTACTGTCTTCACTCTTTCATCACTATTTATTAACCAGAACGTAGAAAATGTCTTAGGGAATGGCGTCGGTAGGTTTTGAATCAATGTAACTCCGAAAAATATGCTTGTTTTGTTAGAAAGCAATAATAATGGTAATGGTGAGTCTAACCATTTCCATACGGGAAATATTTGACATTCACTGACTGGATAGCTAGTTTCGCTGTCAGTTGAAATTTATTTAATACTAAAACAAGTTTTCAGTAAATTAAACTTCTCAAGTTTACTAAAGATTATCGCTCTTTCTAGTGCCGATGGTAATGGTATGGTAATGGTATTAAATAGCCGTTTCCATACAGGAAACATTCGGCATTCATTGACCGATCAGTGAGCTTTACTGTCGGTTAAAATTTATAAAATCTTTTTCTTCAAACAATTCATCTTCATTACTGTTGTGGATTCCGGGATGAAATCCAGTCTCAAATGAATGACAAACGCAGGAATGAAATATAGCAAATAAATAATACAATTGGTAATACGGTTAGTAGATCCAGAAATGTGGTTAGTAGCAATAATAATATATATATAGTCTGGGAAATTCAGTATCGAAGTATGACTTCCTTCTGAGTCTACGTGCTCACAACTGTGACTCCTACAAAGTGGTTACCTCACACTCTTACTGTTCCCTGTATCCGTGTATCTCTGTTACTCACTCTATCAGTGTATCACTCCCGGGTATTCCCCGACAGCAGTACAAGTACACACTGGTCGAGTCCACTTGTATGAAAAAGGGGTGGACCCCATAACAATTACATTATTATATTTCCCTCTAATTATATGTTCAAACTATTTTAATTGTTGCTTTTGGAAATTTCCAAATGATGTTGTTTTTTCTTTCTTCCTTTTTTTTTTTTTTTTTTGTCTTTCAGCCAAGTTCTTTGTGTGGGATTCCGTAGAGCGATTCTATAGGGTCCGATGAAGTATTTTATTCTTTAAGACCAAAAGGATTCATTTGCTTGAAGCCATTTTTAATCATCGATCTGATAAATCGGTTGTATACAGATAATAGTTTTTATATTTGTAAAGGTGTTTGACGCCATGACATCCATATGAGAGTCTAGATCTGATGAGGCTATTTAAGAATAGAGAGAGAGAGAGAGATTGTCAAACAGTGAGAAGAAGACCTCGCGTACTTCCGGTTGCTGCCAGAAGTCTCGTCTCGTTTGTTGGTATGAGCCATAATTTGCAATATTAATTTTCTAGGAAAATAACCCGTTCTCTTTTGGATTCTTCATTGCTTTATTTTTGTTATTTGGGATTGTGTCGTATTAATCTAACTAAATATCAGAAGAAAAAAAAGATAATAAAGATTTAGGCAAATTGAAACAGATAGGTAGTTAGTATCGTTTTTATTCTTAGCTTCAGCAGACTATGGTTTAATGCCATAAGTCTACAAGAGGCTTGATACTGTCTCGTAATTTTATTTTAAAAAGGAGCCTCCAATCTTTATACTGTTTAATTTGGACCAAATTTAAATCCAGTACTGTGGGAACGAAATTACACTCAATAGCTTGCAATAAAAAAAAAAAAAAAACGCTTTCATACAAGAAACCTACCATTCGTACTGTGTTGTTTTAGTTCTAAAAATATTTAAATCAAACTCTACTTTTAATTTAAAATTCTGGAAAAAAAAACATTTACCGTTTTTTTTTAAGTGTTCGCATGTTTAAATTGGCGAAGTTACAAATTTATCTTTAAGTTTTGAAAGAAGCCTTCATCTTGTCAAAGAATGGCAAGGCGTGAGGTCTGTTCCCGCCTCTTCCTGTCTGTCTGTCTGTCTGTCTGTCTGTCTCTCTCTCTCTCTCTCTCTCTCTCTCTCTCTCTCTCTCTCTCTCAAAGTGGTCTTATACCCGTAGTTTACATAGTGCGAGACGCTTCTTTAGCAGTAATAATTTTTTGGAGAAGGCATGAACTCATTTTTGCCAGTGGACTGTCTTAGCGCAATCTGTTTCATCGCTGGCATGCCACAATCGTCGAGCACGTTGCAATCGATGTTCTCTTAGAATTTAGGTGAAGACATGAGACCACATAATTTCTTCAGGTGTGCATTCTCAGCGCAAATAGCTTTATCATTGGTATGACACAATCGTTGGAGAGGGTTTACTTGCGCAAACAATACACATATAACCACGTTACCTGCCGTAGCAGTTGTAATACCTCCCACCGTTCCAGTTTTCAATTGTCAGGCTAGACAAGTTTCAATTAGTCAGTTTACGGAATATTTATTCTAAGGTGTGGGATAGCGTCACGGTTGGCGGCGCGCAAAATATTCATGTTCATTTAACATTCGTAGTTTTGGAGAAAGATGTCCTTTCGTTATATATCTTAATAACAAAATAAGTTGCGTTATTACTGGAATTATTTGTGTGTAATGCGTTTCCGTGTATAATGCGCATGATAACTCTAGGTTTTGAAATTCTGAAAAAATATTGTTTATATCGTATATACTCGCGTCTCCTGCGACATTTGAAGACCTAATTTTGAAGCTAATTTTAAGAGGGTCGCATCATACAATTAGCGTATGTACTGCTGGCCCAAACTATATATTCATTTACTGTAGTCAAAAATTACAACTGTAGTTTAAAATAAACAAACTGATGTTTTACTTAACTGTATCCAATAATAATACGGTGTTTACTCGTTCCCCCACGAGGACGAGATGTGACACAAGGTCTTTTCAAAGTGGGGACCCAGGCACGTACAGCCAGGCAAGGGGCAAAAATTCCTCTCAGCCCCCGCAACCGTCGATTGCGCTGGCCTCGATGCAAGCACCAATCCCTGCCTCTGGTGCAATGGGAGGGCGCGGCCTCGGGGAGCTGTTCCCCAGGGCTGGGCACCTCTCAGTATAATTTTCTCAGTTCCCCCTCTGTCTTTTGACAGAGAAGCCCCTAAGCGCACTCTGCCCAAAGACAGAGACGCAACACAGAGATGATAAGCCTGCGTTGAGAATCACTCCAAAGAGGAATTTATACGGTATCCAATAATAATGCATGTAATATTCACATATTAATGTCGTATTATAAAATACAAACAAAACGAATATGCATCTTTTTCATTGTTTAGATGTTTAGCTGTTTCTCGTTCGGTTGTTTATGGCTGTAGGCGTTTATGCAACGATTGTAAGGAGGGATGGTGGAGTAGTGGATAGCGGCTCGGATTGAGGAATCGGAATTTCAATTGCTCGAAAAATAATTTCTCGAACTATCAATTGCTCGAAAGGCAGTTTGCTCGAAACCTGTGGTTAAAAAAAATAAAACTAGATTGTTCTAATATTTACTATAAGATAAAATAATACAACTTGATTGTTGTTAACTGAACAGTTAAAGTTAAAGAACGAGTACATTTATATAGCAGGTCTTATTTTCTCGAAAGGCAGTTTGCTTGAAACCTGTGGTAAAAAAAAATAAAATACTTGCTAAGCATTTCCTTTTTTTTTTTTTTTATTGCACATTTCACATTTCCAGTAAATCTTATTGTTCACTGTTTTGTCTTTAATATATAGATACCCATCCAAACACAACTTCTTCGAATTCCAGTCGAATCCATTACATTCACTTACGTAATACTCTTGTGAAAGGTATCCTCTTCTTCTCCTCCAGCTATGGGTAAATAGCCTCGGATGGCAACTGGTCTACTGCAGGAAGAAATGAAAAAATCTCCCTCATCAGTCATGTATCGAAAGATACATGATCACTCAAAGCGTGTATCACGCATAGCACATAACAGACTGACTGCTAACGTTGTTAACGATACTTTTATCATTCTCTTTTACTTTTTAAAGTTATTTAAGTAGAAAATGGGATAAAGAGAGAGAGGAAAAGAGGTTATTCTATTTTAATTTGGTCTCTCAAAAAATGGAACTCGTATGATACACGAGATACATGATAAAATCATTTTTGCAATCGAAAATTCGGGGTTCGCACGATCCGCGAGATCTCGCGTTGCACGAGTATATACGGTAATACGCACTGAATCATTAGAGCCGTTAGCCGCTAGATTTAACTTATATTTTAAAAAAATGATTCGAGTCAACTAAAAATTTGGAATTTATATAGTTTACATTTATACGATCTACATTTATATGGTCAACATTATGCTTTGAAACAAAATGTTTTACAGTATTCAGAGCAAACGCACGGACATGTTAACATAAAAACGCAATAAGCTTACCGAGAAAATAAGCGTTCAATATGAGAAAGAATATTATAGACAAATATAATGGTTAATGCAGGACACTGAGCAGCAATGAAGATGACATCCTTTTTTGAGTAAGAAGGACAATATGACTCTGTGGATGACGACGAGAAACGACACCAAAGATGACAAAGACAACTACGCTGACAAAAAAAAAAAATGAAACTCTCATGACGTCTATCTTTGACATGGTCAGAACTAAAGCAAACTAAAACTTAAACGTCTGTGTCAGGCTGTATAGAATTCGAACCGTGAGGGGCTTTCAAAAAGAGTCAATTTTCTGCGTTCATCAAAAGAAATTAGCGAAGACACGGCTGGCTAATGGGTAGCGACTCAGACTAAAGAATCGAAGAGCTGTGTTCGAGTTCCAGTCGTGTCCATTGCATTAACCTACGCGTAAATATCCTTGGGAAAGGTATGAATCAATTTCTTCTACCCACTCAGCTATGATATGAATAAACTGAATATAGCCTTCGGTGGCAACCTGTCTAGGAGAAGGACAATTATCAATACAAAGCCTCCACATATGGGTTAAATACCTATGTTCCTATTTCACACATACTATATATATATATATATATATATATATATATATATATATATATATATATATATATAAAGTTCCATAAAGTTCGTGCACTTTAAAAAATTTATAACTTTATTTGTATTTGCGATAGAAATAATTTGTAAAAAGGATTAGAAAGAAGTAAATCTCTGTTTTTTTAAGATTTTATTGAAATTTTATTTAAGTTTCCATATGTCCTCCATCATTAGCAATACAAAGGGTAATACGATTTTGCAGTTCACGGAAAAAAGTTGCCAACTGATTTACAGTAATGACTGAAATCACATTAGTTATTTTAACTATACTTAAAACTAAGTACATTAAACTTTATAACATTTTTTTACAGATTATTTCTATCGCAAATACAAATGAAGTTGTAATTTTTTAAAGTGCACACGAACTTTATGGACACCCTATATATATATATATATATATATATATATATATATATATATATAAGATATATATATGTATTAAAAGCTGTTTGCGTGCAATCTGTGGAGTTAAGCTTCAAGATAGGACATCTAACGTAGAACTGTTTAACAGGTGTAATATTGTAGGAATCGAGACTTTTATCATACAGTCTCAGTTACGGTAGACTGGTCATGTCTTGAGAATGTCTGATGACAGGGTACCCAAGATCCTAATGTACAGCTAGTTTGATCAGGGCTACAGGAATGTAGGACGCCCATGGCTAAGACAAAGACAAGCTGAAAAGCAACTTGTCAGCAGTTAATATACCACATAATACCCTTGAGCGCTTAGCTTTGGAGCGGGTAGAATGGAGATCAACGTGTTTTAGTGGACTCAGAAATTTTCAATCTGCTTGTCTGAATCATCTTCAAGAAGCGAGAGCAAGATCTAAAAGGTCATCCAATCTAACAGTGATCTCATCTCACAATCCTCACACTTGTCCCATATGTGGTCTCCTTTGTAAATCACTGGCGGGTCTTAAATATCACTTAAGGTTATCGCACAAACTTTCATAACTGAATCAATAAGCTGTCAGATCCTCATACATCGAAACCGACGAGAGAGAGTCCATTATTATATTATTATTATTATTATATATATATATATATATATATATATATATATATATATATATATTTCACTCATACTAGATATTTATATGTATATCTGTTCCTATTTCACTCATACTATATAACTATATGTATAGATCTCAGTTCTCTTTTTGCACGTATTCTTTTTGCACTGTTTTGGAATAAATTATTTTTTGCGCTATTTGTTTTACTTTGACTCGGTTTAAACAGCTCTTCTTGTGTAACCATCGAATTTATTACAAGAGGCAAATAAACGATTAAGTAACAATCAATCAATTATAATTTACAAAATGCAGAAACTCTACGTAACATGATTAAGTAACCATTTAGCGAAGTAAAATAGAATCCAATCTATTTTTTCCGCTTAGGGATCCCCCCCACTCTCCGGTGTGAGCGGGACCTGTGCACTGTACATACAAAGTATTTCAGAGAATGCAGATGATTCCATGTTAGTTTATAGTGGTGATGATGAAGTGGTACCACTATCTGAAAGTACAATTCTAGAAGGCATCCAAATAGCCAATAAACTTGTAAATCATTTTCTTACAAATAACAACAATGGCGAAGGAGCTGTACAATTCAAACATGATTTGAAAATGATTATGATACGTTATGAAGAATCATATAAAGAACTAACAAAAACAAAATCACAGCGTCTGATAACCGAATTCCTATTCAAAACCAGTGAAACAAAAGAAACATAAGATGTTCATTTTATTCAAGATACACTTGAAGATATATCGCTATTAAATATTTCCAGTGACGAGAGGGATTTTGCGCCACCGAAAAACAACAGAAAGCGGGCACGTTTACTGTCTAGTAGTGACACTGAATGATTATGTTATGTATATATATATGTGTGTGTGTGTATATGTGTGTGTATGTATGTATGCATGTATAAATAAAAATCAATTTATTTGTATATGAAAATTAACTTTTTTTTTAATATATTTGGATAGAACCTATCTTTAATTTTATTATGTACACTGTATTATTTTTTACGTGGTTTTATTTTGTATAGTAGTCTCTGGAGCGTATCCCCCACCCATGCAAAAAGAGAAATGAGAGTATATCTGTTCCTATTATGGTTTCAAGCCATATATATATATATATATATATGTGTGTGTGTGTGTGTGTGTGTGTGCGCGCGCGCACGCGTCAGTTAATCTAACGAACCCGACTAGAATTGGAACTGTGATCTCCAATTTACAATCACGAGCCGTTATCCATTGCACCATGAGTACATCCAAGCTTACAGCACCTGATATTCCCAAGCAGTTACTCATCTAGGTACTGACCAGGCTCGACATTGCTTATCTTAGGAGGATCGTACAAAGGCAGCATACGGAAATATGTTGTGAAAATACAGATAGACCCTATTTCGATTCTGTTATGGTAATTTACCCACGCGCGCATGGATTCTCCCAGCTATAAATAAGGTACTGCTTTTTGGACAGGAAAGTTTGTAGCAGTCAGCTCTGACAGTCGGAGCGAACATTCTTGCTGTAACACTCTCATTTGTATATGTTCGTATTACTGTTTTTGTTAATATATTTGTTTAAGTCAATTACTCTCTTGTGTCTTTATTTCTGGCCCTAGCAAGGTCACAGCAGACTCCCCCACTGGAATAACAATGCATCGAAGAATATCTTTAGTTTCTTCTTTGGGTTAACCCAGCCAGACACCTAATTTTAAAAACAAAAATCAATATTAAGGAAAAGCTGGAGCGTAGAATTGAAAACTCCCTCTCGGTGTTTCCATGACTCTGTCATAACCCGTATCTTCTCCGCGTTCTCTGGGAAAGTCAGCCCAAATAGACATCGTTCGCTTTTCTTTTTCTTTTCGGTCTTAATTTGAGTTTGCGTTGAATCAAATCACGACGAGAGACGTTAGACTGCCATCTAACGCCTTGTCAATGAAGAAGAGAGGAATTATTTTGGCAAAACAGTCTACTGTCATAATTCTAAAAAAATAAAATGATGGTATTTATGGTATTTATCAATCCACCCACGGGGATCGAATGTGGCACAAGGCCTTTTTAATGTGGGTATCTCTGAGCCCGTAGGCCCAGCCAAAAATAAATATCCATCCAAACCCGCCGAGGCGGGCCAGTTCCGTCAACCTCCCCCAACGAAACCCTACCCTTCGGAAGAGCTTCGTCCGGGTTCCTCTCTGCAAGCAGAGAGTTCAACAGACATCCGACCCGGCAGCTCACAAAGCGCAGATACTACACTTTGATCCTAGCCACCGGGCCGAGCGGGTAATAAAAAAATAAAATGATACACTCATTGTCAACCTTGAAGGGGGCCAGCATACAACCGTAATTAGTACGTATGTCATTACTAATTACTATCACAACTAGTTTAATGGTCTCTGTCAATGGAGCTTAGTATACGCTTTGGGGGCTGTTTGGAGTGTTCGCCCTTGACCCTTGAGCTCTCATTTCACTGTTCTATGTCCGGTTTATTTGGGTCTGGCACCAAAAAAAAGGAATATTATATACAGTTCTGTAATCATACCCCTGTTGATCAGTTAAGTGGATAAGCTAGTTTTTCTTAATCATTTCACCTCACTCAAGGCAATAAAGCCACTAACACGCAAGGGGTTACTGAGTGTGAAAGAATATAAGAAAAATATCAAGGAACGAGAGCAATAAAAGAACAGAATTTAAGACGACAGAAGATAACAATTGTCATTTAATTTTTTTAAGATCAAATTTGACTGGAAATCAAGAAGCCGGAGAACTACCTCAGGCGAGAAGTGCGAGAAAAGAAACCGTTGTCACAGTACTTACGGTTACATCTAACCAATTCGACAGTAAAATGATGAGACTTGTAAGATCAGTCGTTGTAAGTACAGATAGGTTAGAAAATTTTTTTAATAAATTCACCCCAGGAAAGGCGATAAAGCCAGTGGGATGCCGGGATGGGGTTACAGGGGCTGAAAGAGAAAGAGAAGTCTATAGTGAGATGTGAAGAAAAGGATAATAAAGGAACAGGGTTCAGGAACACAGAAGGTAGCGATTGATGTTGCATTTATATTTTTGAGGATTGTAATTGGCAGGGAAGCAAGAAATCGGAAGGGAGTTCCACAGTCAAGAAGCGCGGGAAGAGAAACTGTTAGAATAGAAGAGACGGTTGCATCTAGATAGTTAAAACAGTAAAAAGGTTGGATGGTTGTTTTTGTTTAGTGCCATATCAGACTCTATTGGTTATTTCATGGCGAAATCTAAATATTTTGGATGCAATTCTATCTTTTCTTTGGAGATAATAATGGTTTTAGTGATACAAGTCTTACTAATTAACCCATAGCTGGAGGGAGAAGAGAGGGATTCATATCTTTCCCAAAGGTATTTGCGCATAAGTGAATATAACAAACACAACTGGGACTGGAACTCGGTTCTCCAATTAACAATTCTGAGCCATTATCCATTACATCATCTGCACATCCAAGCTTACAGCATCTGGTATTCCCAGGCGTTCACCCATCTACGTATTAGCGATGTTCGACATTGCTTAACTTCGGTGATCGTACGGGAATCACTGTTGCAACGTGATGTATCCGTGAGGCACAGTAAAACGATGAGACCTAATTGACAATACAGTAAATAGATAACCTAAATAATTAACGCTAGTTAACATGTCCAGATTATTAATAATTACAGGATTGTAACGTAATATCAGTCCTCCTACATGGCAGTGAATGCTGGGAAATCTCCTCACAGATGAAGAAGAGACTTGAAGCAACAGAAATGTGGCTCCACAGAAAGATACTGAGAATACGATGGATCCAATATATCAGTAAGGACGATGATTTAGAGAAAAAAATCACTTATACTTAACATCAGAAAGAGACAGTTGAAATTTATAGGGAACATAATGAGGAAAGAGGGCTTGAAAAATTTGATACTCACAGGACAGATCGAATGTAAGGTGGACAGAGGAAAACAATTCATAACTTACCTAGCGAGTTTAAGTTAAATGGATGGCGGAGACATTCTGAGGAGATATAAGAAAAAAGAAAATATATTGACAGCTATAAAAGGAAAAGAAGTTGTGGAAAGCTATGGCCTCCAACGTCCTGAATAGAGACTCACATGGAAGAAGAATAGATCGAATGTAAGTTGAACAGAGTTAAACAATTCATAACCTACCTAGCGAGCTCGAGTTAAATGGATGGCGGGAGAATTTTGAGGCGATATAAGAAAAAAAAAGAAAATATATTAACAGCTATAAAAGAAAAAGAAATTGTGGAAAGCGATGGTCGCCAACGTCCTGAATAGAGACTCACATAGAAGAATAGATCTACAGAATATGGTATACTATAGATCGTGTATGTTCGAAGGGACATTCAAACGTACACGATCTATAGTTTCCTGTACTTTAAGATGTATGAATTACCACGAGTTCATGGGGAAGTGTAGTGGTTCCCCATTACCTTCTTCACGGTTTTGGATTCAGAATAGACCCTTTATACTGGCTGTCACTCAAGACTTCCCTTCAATTTAACTTATAGCTGGAGACCAGATTATCTATGGTGAGAAATTAATTAAAATATTCTCTCAGCGATAGAATGAATTTTTCAGCCCAGTGACCAGATTACCTATGCTGAAAAATCACTAAATGGGAGAAAATTTAAATATTAAAAAGCTACATGGCTGAGTGAGCGACCTATTTGTTTATACAAGAGTAGTAGAGTAGAAGATATATATATATATATATATATATATATATATATATATATATCAGAACTATGTGAGGCGAATTAATAAAAAGTAGAAAAAATTCTGTGTGATTCATTTCGTCCTTCAGAACTTCATTTAGTCCGATAAAGAATTTTTTTTTCAATTTTGTCATTAATTTTTTTTTGTTTGTTTGTTTGTTTTTTAAGCGTTTCCCCCTCAAGCAAGGCGGGAAGCCACTAGCGCACAAGGGGTTACAGAGAGTTTGGAGCTAGAGCAAATAGGAGTGATAGAGAAAAGGATGAAGAAAATGGTAGGGGATAGATCAAGGCATCTGTAGACGTCGATTGACGTTACATTTGAATAGTTGGAGATTATAGCTATCAGGGAAACAGGAAAAGGGGAGGGAATTTCCCGGGCGAGAGGTGCGAGATATGAAGCTATTGGAGTAGAAGAGACGGCTACATTTAAGTTTCGACAGTGGAAGCGTGTGAGCGAGATGCTAGCCTAGTAGAACGCTTAAATCCATGAAGTTTGGGAGCCAGCGAAAGTCTGTGAGAGAGCGACTGCAGACGAGATGCCAGATCTGGGCCAATTACGTTGCATATCCGTCTCTGGATCTTATCAAGAACCTTGAGACAAACAGAAGGGGCTCCAGACCATATATGGCAGCAATACTCCATGAAAGGGCGAATGGTTGATTTGTAGATTTGAAGGATCGACTCCGGCGAGAAAAATTTCCTGGCGCGGCACAGGGAGCCAACTTTTCTTGCGGGTGGACGAAGCTATTGACTCAATGTATTTGTTCCACCTCAGGTCAGCAATGTGAGGCCGAGTAGTCGCAAAGAGGAGCCCACGAGAAGCTGAGCGTCAGACATTCTAATGGCTGACGCTCAACTTCTCGAGAGCTTCTTTTTGGGAATTTCCCTTTAAGATGTTGCCGATCATTTCTCTCCACAACTCCAATATTTTCAGTAGTAATCATCTACTTCATTTACAAATGGCTATTTCATTAAATAATTAAATTATTGATTAAAACGTCTTATTAAACAATAAATTAATCATCTATGCACCGTGTTCCTTCAGAATGTTGGTGATCATAGCGCTCCGTAATTACCTTTAATCATCAATAAATGTTGTCTTCTTTCCCAAAAACCTGCTCCGCCATCCATTCGCTCAAGTTCGCCACGTAAGTTATGCGTTAATTTCCACTGTCTCTCATGCCATCTACCTGCCCGATAACATGATGGGTAGATCATATTCTGTAGATGTGGAAACCACTCCATTTCCCCATAAAGTCATGGTAATTCATACATCTTAAAATACAGGAAACTATAGATCGTGTAAGTTTGATTTTCCTTTCGAACATACACGATCTATAGTATACCATATTCTGTAGATCTATTCTTCTTTCATGTGGGTCGCTATTCAGGACGTTGGTGACCATAGCTTTCCACAATTTCTTTTCCTTTTATAGGTGTCAATATATTCTCTTTTTTCTTATATCTCCTCAGAATGTCTCCGCCATCCATTTAACTCAAGCTCGCTAGGTAGGTAATGAATTGTTTTCCTCTGTCCCCCTTACATTCGATCTGTCCTGTGAGTATCAAATTTTTCAAGCCCTCTTTCCTCATTATGTTCCCTAGAAATTTCTCTTTCTGGTGTTAAGTATAAGTGACCTTTTGTTTCTATTTTCTCTAAATCATCGTCGTTGCTGACATATTCGATACATGGCATTCCCAGCATCCTTCTGTAGAACCACATTTCTGTTGCTTCAAGTCTCTTCTTCATCTGTGAGGAGATTTTCCAGTATTCATTGCCATGAAGAAGGACTGATATTAAATAAAAGTTCAGTATTCTTTGTTTCTATCGATTTTTTTCTATTTCTTGATACTTGATTTTCATTATTAAATACGCGTAAGAAATACATAAATTCACCCCCTTTTACCTTGAGAAGCCTGCTAATGCAATACAGCTGCTTTACCGTTTCAGCTACATGCACCAACGATTGGAAATAAAATCTGACTACATAAACTTATTTCTTAATTTTTCCTAACACAATGCGTAGACTTTTTTTTTTTTTACATACGCAAATATTATATCGTCATCAATCCCATACCGAGTGTTGTCATAGGGTTGCTGCGCAGCTGACCAGCATCCTCCATATATGGCGGTCGGGTGTTAATGTTTTAGTCTGTGTGAATGACTGTCTATTCGCCTCAGTGAGGTTTGTCAGCCCATTTTTTCCTCTATCCGACTTATCTTCTTTTGCGTTGTAGGACGACAAAGGAAATATTTCACTCCTGTAATGTCTCCATACTATTTCAACTTTCCCTTCTTGACGATGGTTATGAGGCCATCCAGTAGACCCGTTTCCTGCCTGTTGGTTTGATTATTATCTTGGCTGTGGTTGTTTAACGGCATATCAACTCCTTATGGGTCATTTAATGTCGAAATTTTATTGTGACATTTGAAGTAATGAAATTATGATTTATGTTATTCTGTTTTCACAACTGAATACGCCGTAAACCAAACCAAACCAAACCAAACCAAACCAAACCAAAGAATAATTGGGTTATATACGAACAGATGAATTTTATTTTGCATGGGATGTTTTGCTAATTTTGAAGAATTTTATGTTATTTAATCTAACAATAATCTCCATTTTCCACCATTTAACTTATATTTTCCAGCTCCAAAATATATAATTCTGCGTAACACAGGTTTCTATCACAAATGTTTGGTACAAACTATTTAAAGGGATTATATTTAAATACTTTATAATGTTTCTATTCATAACTTAGAACAATAGAATCAAACTGTCATTATTATCATTATATAAAAACTAGATGTTGGGCACCTCAGCATGGTATAATGGTTAAGCAAGCTTATCTTGCTAAAACAATTACAAACTGAAGAGTGAGTTCGATCCTCAGTGGGTGCCCCATACTTTCGGCCTTGTGCCACATCTATGCTATGCTTAGAATATCAGTATAAAAACTAGGTGTTTCAGCAAAGACATTCAGGGTTGGGTTTTTTGGGGGGGGATGCAGTGCTTTATCTGATAATATATAAACTCGAGAGAATATAAATTCTAAAAAAAATAACCATTAAGATACTCTACTCAACATCAGTAAACTAACGGCATTGCATCAAAAAATCATTGACATATATTTGACTTTTAATTCCGTATTTAATTATACAAACTTCAAGGCTTACAGTTTTTAATGGTGCCTGAGATGTTTTGCTAATTTTGAACAATTTTATGTTGTTTAATCCAACAATAGTCTCCATTTTCCACCATTAAATTTCATTTTCCAGCTCCAAAATACATATTCCTACATAACTCAAGTTCTATCACAAATATTTAAAGTTATTATATTCAAATACTTTATAATGTTTCTATTCATAACTTGGGACAATAAAATCAAACTGCCATTATTATCATTATATAAGAACTAGGTGTTTCAGCAAAGATATTCATGGCTGGTTGGTTTCTTTCTTTCAGCGCTTTATCTGATAATATTTAAACTCAAGAAAATATAAATTCTAAGAAAATAAAAGTAAAATACTCTCACCACATTAGTAAACTAACGACATTGTATTAAAAAATCAATGACATATATTTGACTTTTAATTCTGTATTTAATTATACGAACTTTAATGATGAACTTTCACATATGCATATTTTTTTTCATACCAAGCAAGGCGATAATGCCATTAAGACGCAGGTAGCTACTGGGAGTAAAAGAGAACGTGAACACTTTAGAAGGAACCGGAAACTCAATCCTAAACCGGAAACAAGTTATAAACCTCTGCCCTTATTCAAAAGACCGAGGAAGTGTATACCTGTTAATATATCTTGAA